GCAAGAGAATCTCTTAAGCCCAAGAGCTGGAGGTTGCTGTGAGCTGTGATGCCACAGCACTCTATGAAGGGCAACCTAGTGAAACTCTGTCTTTAAAAAAAAGAAAAAGGAAGAAAAAAAGAAATTGCTTCTGCTAAAGTGGAAAAAAAAAAAAAAAATATACAATTTAGTTAACCCTGAAAATGTGCTGTGAGGCCATGGCAATATGGCAACATCACAGTTGAAGAACAAACATAATGCGGCAGAAAGAGCTCAGCTGGTCAGGCGTGGAGTCCAGTCTCTCTTCTTTCATTTATTAGTCCTGATTTTATCCTATGTCTGTATTTTTCTCAACTTGTAAGGTAGGGGTCCTTCAAGTTTTATATCCAAAGAAGCACTTTTCTTTTTATTAAATCATAGCTGTGTACATTAATGCAATTATGGGGTACAATGTGCTGATTTTATATACAATTTGAAATGGTTCATCAAAATGGTTAACATAGCCTTCACCTCCTTTTCTTAGTTATTGTGCTAAGACATTTATATTCTACACTTAGTAGATTTAACACGTACCCTTGTAAAATGCACCATAGCAAAGAAGCACTTTGAAAGTACTATCATAAAATATCACTATAGACGTATGAGGTATTATAATTGTGGGCAATGAAAATTGAGGTTATAACATTGAAAAAATATGCTGTTCTATTTTTTTCCCTTTTTGATACACTTTTCTAGGTGAATGTGCCTCTTAAGAACACTTGTCTGGGAATGTCTGGGATAAGGTTGGGCTGCATAGACAGATTATGTACCCTGAAGGCCGTGCTCCTGGAAAGACTCAGCAGCTCAGCCAGCACATCCAGAGTATGAAGCATGAAGTGCATTTATTCAGCAAAAATGATAAGTAAATATAAGAAAAAATTCCAAGGATTCCATTTTTAATAAATACTGAAAAATCAATGACAACTAAAATTATATTCAGAGTAACACATGTCGTTTTTCTCAGATTTCACAGCACTTTCAAACACACATTCAAATGTTGATTTGAATTATTCAGACCTTTTAACTACACAGAGCAATTTTTAAAAAGTAGTGAAGTCATAAGTAAAAATAAAACCAATAACTAAAAATTGGAACAAAATATACTGAACATAAAGGCATTTGAGTCTTTGAATTTGAAAATGAGAAAATGTGAAGGTGCCAATTTATTCCATAGGGTTGTTCGAACCCTTTGAGAACATTATCGACCTCTGGTAGCTCTGAGTTGTCAGCAGGTACTTTTACAGAACATGGTGATGATGGACGGTGGAGTTACAATACACTGTATTTTATTTTATTTTTGAGACAGAGTCTCACTTTGTGCCCTGGGTTGAATGCTATGGCATCATCATGGCTCACAGCAACCTCAAACTCTTGGGCTTAGGCAATCCCCTTGCCTCAGCCTCCTGAGTAGCTGGGACTATAGGTGCTGCCACCAGGTCCTGCTAAGTTTTTCTGTTTTTAGTAGAGACCAGGTCTTGCTCTTGCTCAATCTGGTCTGGAACTCTTGAGCTCAGGAGATCCACTGCTTCCAGAGTGCTAAGATTGTAGGTGTAAGCCACTGTGCCCAGCCTAAGCTGTCTTTATACAAAAAAGTATCAGATAGTTCAGGTTATGACTAGACTCATGATAGAAGATAGCTAGGACTTTTAATATTTTCCTTTTTATCCTGTTCAGAGAAGGATCAAATAATATTCTACTTGTCATCTCTCATCTTAATTACATGTAAGCTCACAAAGGCAAAAGATTTATCTTAAATATCATAGATTAATGGCTATAAATTTGTACTTGAACAAAAAAAAGCCCTTTTTATATAATTTTCCTGTAATTCAGTGATGTTTTCCCTCTCAAAATCTGTTTATCACCTGAGAAAAAAATCCTATTACTGTAAATTTGTTAAGAATGCATCTTTTAGTGATAACATTTTATTTACTTATTTTTGAGACAGAGACTCAAGCTGTCACCCTGGATAGAGTGTCATGGTGTCACAGCTCACAGCAACCTCCTACTTGGGGTCAAACGATCCTCTTTGTTTTTCTTTTTTTCTTTTTTAGAGACAGTGTCTAACTTTGTCGCCCTTGGTAGAGTGCTGTGGTATCACAGGTCACAGCAACCTCCAGCGCTTGGGCTTAGGTGATTCTCTTGCCTCAGCCTCCCGAGTAGCTAGGACTACAGGCACCTGCTACAACGCCTGGCTATTTTTTTGTTGCAGTTTGGCTGGGGTCGGGTTTGAACCCACCACCCCTGGGATATGGGGCCGGCGCCCTACTCACTGAGCCACAGGCACCGTCAGATCCTCTTTGTTTTTCTATTCCTCTGTTTTTCTATTTCCTCTCAGTTTTCCTATTTTCAGTAGAGCCGGGGGTGGGGGGTCTCACTTTTTGCTCAGGCTGGTCTCGAACTCGTGAGCTCAAGCAATCCACTCACCTCAGCCTTGAAGAGTGCTAGGATTACAGGCTGAGCCATCACACCCAGCCAAGATAACATTACAGATGAAATTTGGATCTATTTCCTTTTCCTCATTTCAACTTCGTTCCTCCTTTCTTCCATTGTGCCAGCAAGTGAATGCTTCATAGGTTCCTCCCAGTATAAATTCACTTCGCTTGTCTTTTGGGAGTAAGGCAATGTCAAAAAATGTTTTTGCCTGTAGTTATCCACAGTTAAGTGCAACGGGACAGCAATATCCTGTACGGCCAGAAGATGGTAGCATTGCCCAGAAAAGGCGGCCATTTGGCTGTTTCGGGGATTGTTCAATCTAATTTAAGTCTTTTGTATTTTCATGGGACAGTCTCACTTTGTGGCCCTTGGTGGAGTGGCATGGCCTCATAGCTCACAGCAACCTCAAACTCTTGGGCTCAAGTGATCCTCTTGCTTCAGCCTCTCAAGTAACTGGGACTACTGGCACCCACCACATCGCCCTGTTATCTGTAGAGACTTGGTGTGGCTCTTGCTCAGGCTATCCACCCACCTCTAGAGTGTGTGCACTCTGCCCCAGGATCTAACCTTTTAATATAGCAACACTTGGGAATGTTTGTCTATGTTTTAAATCAAAATGATGAATATATATGTGTGTGTATTATGTACATAGTTTCACACGTAAGAATTAGATCTGCATGCCTACAAATACAGCGATGAACTCGTAATTAAGTGATGCTACTTTAAGGGGTTGTTTTGTATCTCTTGCAGTGAATTTACAGTAAGGTGCCTAGGAATCTTTTTTCTCCTCTCGCTTTCAACTTCTTACTCTTCCTTTATGTCCTTTTGCCGTTTTCTTTTCTCCCCATTTCTGGTATTTAGGGTAGTATCTTAAGTATTAACAATGGCCTGTTGTAATTTCTACTGCAAGATGCGATTGTGGGAGAGTGCGATTTTTAATATTGCACATAAAACTGTGCCATAAAAGGTTTATTGGTACTTAACACAATTCTTATTTAGTAGGAAGTACATACTACAGTACACTGTAGTATTTTCACTCAGAGGTAGCTTCAGAGTAGAATGTTACCAATTAAACTCATTTACCCATGGGTGATCATTTGATTAAAAATTATCTATTTGGGCCGGGCGCTGTGGCTTACGTCTGTAATCCTAGCACTCTGGGAGACTGAGGCAGGTGCATTGCCTGAGCTAAGGAGTTTGAATCTAGCCTGAGCACGAGTGAGACCCCCCCAGCTCTACTAAAAACAGAAAAACTGAGGCAAGAGGATTGCCTGGGCCCAAGAGTTGGAGGTTGCTGTGAGCTATGACGCCATGGTACTCTACCCAGGAAGACAGCTTGAAACTCTGTCTCAAAAAAAAAAAAAAATATATATATATATATATACACACATATATATATGTGTGTGTGTGTGTGTGTGTTTCACTGCACACTTCATAGGTTTAGTGGGGCCCTGGGATTATTTCTTTCTTTCATTCTATGGCTAATTACCTTCAGTTCATTTTTGTGACTGTGATATCAAGTCCACATCACCTGAGTAAACTGGATTAACTGGGCTATGATGAGTGTGTTTATTAGAGAGATTATCTCAGTGAGGGGATTGTACAAATGTTACAAATGAATACGGAAGGACGCTGAGACTGACTTCTGCAAATTATGAACCACGTGCCTAAATCCAGACCACGATCTTAGCTTTCCCAAGTCAGTGAGCAAAACCCGTAAAGATCCTTGTCGTTTTGGGGCTTACATTTTAGCTGGGAGTAGAGGAGGGACCGGAGCTGTCCAGCTGCAGGTGGTCAGGAAAAACCGCGTCCAGGTTCTAAGGGAGGCCCCTGCAGTCGAGAGGCCGGAGCGGTCCAGCAGCCCTTTTTCTAGGGAATCCACTCTTGGGTGGGTTCCAGTTCCTAATTACAGCTTTTGCAAGCCAGTTCCGAGAGGAACCAACGCCCGTGACTTTCCTGATTTTTAGGGAAGACCCGGGGAGGTCCGGACTGCGTCTCCGCGACCCTGCGGCCCCGAGCGCGCGCCACGCCCCCAGATCCCGGGCCCCTGGCGCCCTCCCGGGCCCCGCGTCTCCACCCTCACGAGGCCCCACCGGGCAGGCTTCCGCGTCCGCTCCGCACCGGGCGTCGCCGCTCCAAAACGCGTGTCCCCTCGCCCTTCGCTACTTTCCACTTGGCGACTCCCCGGTGTCGCGCGGTCCCCGCCGGCCTGCGCGAACCTTGCAGACAGCTGGTCCCCCTATCCGTGCGGCCCTCCTGAGGGGCGGGCGCGGGGCGGCGCGAGGCGGGGCGAGACGGGCGGACGCCACCGCGCAGCTACCGGCCGGCGGCGGCCTGGTCCGGACGGCTGCTGCGTCCTTGCCGCCCTCCTCGCCCACGCCGCCGGGGCCCTGACCTCGGACCCGCCCGGTCCCAGCAGCGGCGCGCGCGGCCGGGGTGGGCGGCGGCCGCACGGGGCATGAGCAGGCGGCGGCGCGCGGAGACGATGCTGCGGAGCTGAGGAGACGCCGGCACCGGCGCCGCGGCCGAGCGCAGTGGCGACTCACGGGATGGCTCAGCCGGCCGGCCCCACGGGCGGCGGGGAGCCGGCGGGAGGCGAGGGGCCTGCAGAGCCCGGGACGGCCGCCGGAGCGACCGGGGGCCCGCGGGACGCGCTGAGCCTGCAGGAAATCCTGTGTCTCTACAACCAGCCCATCAACGAGGAGCAGGCGTGGGCCGTGTGCTACCAGTGC